GTAGCCATCTACAAACATAGACACACAGTGCAGCCATCATTATATACATGCACTATGCACTATAGATGTTGGGGTGGAATGTTTTTTGACTGGGGTGAGGTACATGTAATTTCAAAGAAAAACAATAGTCAAAAAGCCCAAAAATCTTCCATCCAACATCTGCTCGGACTTGGAGTAATACTAGACACAGTGTTGGAATGGTAAGTTATCAGAAGTTGAACCACACCTTAGTATAGCCCACTATAGTGAAGTGGTCTCCGACTGACTTCTTGTGTTTCCAGCCTTGTGAGGCCAGTGTGGGGATGTCAAACTTGCCCAGGCTCTGTCCTCCATAGTGGTTAAACTCTTTCCTCTTACAGGAAATGATGATCCTACCTGGTCTGTGTATGAAGAGGAAATTTCCAGAATGATGATTGAGGAAAACTGATAAAACAAAATAATCCTTTGGATGTTGCTGCAGATATGAAAATTATTATTTATATTTCGGAAATTCCTGCACAAATCAATTAACTGTTCCTACCTGGCCAGAGGAACTGAGTTTTTCCCAAGTGACTTGGCTTTTTTAATCTGGTCTAGTCTCCGGTTTAAGTACTGGGGTATACGGATTACATTCTGCCTGGCTGCCTCACTCTGTAAACAAACAACAACAACAAAACATGTCAACAAACAAAAACATTGGCCATTCCAACATCAACAACAAAAAATAAGAATTGAGCACAAACAAGATCTCAACAAAGTAGAAAAATACTTCATAATGTTACTGAAATCTACATAAAGCAATGTGTATGGTTAACATCTAAAAGGTATCATATGATTTTATTTTCATGCAAATTATTTTCATAGTTGCACATTACAAAATTTCTGATTGAGTGATAAATCACCACAATATATAAAGATACTCACCACATAGTATCTGGACAATTGGGTATTAATGTTAATGCTGTCCCCATATTGTACAGTGCACTTGTCTGAATCTATCGTGGATCTACTCCCTATGGATCTAACCTGGAAAAAATGAATACATGAAGCACAATTTAATCAAAAACACATGAGACATGAGGCACTTGCCCCCCTCCCCAAGCTGACATAATCCTACACTGTGTTGAATTTATTGTACGATTCCGGGACGAAATCCGGACAATAACCTATTGAAAGCACATCAACGTATATTTGTCATCATTGTCGCAATGCAAATTATCAGGAATAAGGTAAAGAGAACTTACAAGAAAGCCAAATCTGGCCAGCCTACAAAATCTGCAAATTTCTATGGGCGCAGCCATCTTGGATTATTGCATTCACAAGAGGGGGCAAATATTGTAACGTTACCGTTTTTAAGACAAATTGTAACATTTTTCGATCAAAACATAAAGTTTGTGAAAACTACTATGTTAAATTACTTTTTATCGTCATCTTATTGTTTAGCTCATCCAAGTTGATGTCACAGAAATTATAAAGAACCCATATATGCACTATATTGGATTCGCCCATAGATCAGAATGGCGGCTGTCAGACCAAAAATCTAAGTTCTCGTTACTAAAAAGGAAAGAAAGGCCTATGAAATGGCGTCAGAGCATTCTGTACTGAAGCAGCTCCATCCGCTGGTCAGACCGTACGTCGAGAGAGTCCTGAGGAGGGGAAATGTCGGGGTCTGTATGGGGAATCTCCGGATCAGCGATGTCAAGTCAGGGTGAGCTGCTAGTCTGCTTCCTCAACTCTAAGTTGAGTCCCCCGCCTCCCCCACTCTAACCCTTCCTC